TAAGACAATTAGATTATATTTTTCGTTTATATGAAGGGTTTCGAGATTAGCAGTCCTTCATCACGTTAAACGAAGTAGGGTGAATACATCCCATATAATTAGGTTATACACGGAAAAAATTTGGTGAAAATTTAGATGTGAAAGACCTCACTACTAAGTAAATACTTGAAGTAAATTTAAAAATTTTGTGAGAAAAAAAAAAGAAACAAGATAAGCTAGAACAAGTGAAATAAGTTAGGCGTGACGTTAGTTTTATAAATAACACAATTTAAGGGATAGCGAGAGGATAAACTTAAGTAGTACATAGAAAAAAAATGTTTTCTGAATAAAAATTTGTTTCATTATTAAGAAAGCATACGATTATATTATTTACGTGAATAATCATATCTTAAATTACCTTGCTATCTCTAACATCAAAGTATACGCTGCAAGTTTAATATAATATTTCCTATAATAAATAATAATGGCAAACTGTGGCCTTCGAAGCACATTCAGAGGCACAAATGTAGCTTTTCAAAAGCTCTTATAAAAACAAACGAAAGTTATTAAATTGCAAGATGCGTTACAAGTGACGGTCGTAATTAAATAAAGAGGAAACGTACGGTGTTGATTAATGAGTACACGACTCCCAATTCGATTTACATAAAATCTATCAAGAAAATATTGTAATTGGTTTTCATCCGCTGGTGATATTCCATATACAGACTTCAGTTCCAATATTCCCTGTAATTAAAGGCAGTAATTAAATAAAACGAATCACCTTTGCCATGGATTCAACGACATTTGAATGCCTGTGCAATATAGTACGAATGGTCTCAGAAAAAGATGAAATAACAGATTCTTTTGAAGAGTCGCCGTCTTCGTACATAATCAGATCCTCGAAACTCCGCTCATATCTTGAATACGGTAAATAAATTATTTACTTTGATAAAACTTCATGCACTGACGTTGTGTTCAGTAGAGATTGTGGTAGCAGCTTAATTTCTTGCATGATATTAGCAAGTCTTGTTGGTAACTCAAATTTAAGAAATTCAAATGATTTCCTTGGGGGAGCATGATGACCTAAATTTTGAGAGTTAATGGGAAAACGTAATTTAACATTATAGAAATGTATATAGATACCAAATTCTATGAGATACTTTAAGTTTAGGGCATGCGGCGAATAGCTGCTGAAAACTTCAAATCTGTTGGCGGTTCTTCCAAAGAAGTTACAAAAGTTAGATGCTACTGTCATCGTACAAGGGCACAAGGGATACGGCCCTGGGTAGCGAGCCAGTAGCTATTGGTCAGTTTGTAGTTGAGCGATCTACTTAAATGAAATAAACAAGCTAAATCATATGATGCAGGGGTAAGTTAACTTTCAAAATATCATTATTATTATGATAAACTATTTTAAGGTTATTTAATAAATAGTTTATTTTATTATGGATAACGTAAAATTTGGTAGGGAATAAGATAAGGGGATTATTAGGAGAAGCGGAAAGTAAAAGAAGGCGATTGCGATTATTCAGTAAACCGTGGAAACAGGTAGGACACTTTTGAGCTTAGCTTTGAAGGATATAATGAAAAAGTCGATTCTATACAGAGGTCAGACTGATAGCACTATGATGTTCTATTTATTCATTTCCATTAGACGATTGTGTACAACAGCTCCGTGCCTATAATATTTACCATAAAACTAGTTATGGCTAACTAATATAAGCAAAAACATAATGATAAATAAATATATTAAAATAAGGTGATATTAGCAAATTTGAGAGCAATGCCTTGAGAAATGTTCGGGGACGATACTGCATAAGTGAAATGAAACTCTTGAGGCCGATGTTGGGAAATAGACCATTAAGGGTAAGTGATACAGCAGCCAAGAGCAAATAAAATAGCTTAGCCAATAAGGCGTTAAATGAATCTTTAAATATACAAAGAATATTATGATAAGAGTTGAATGACGATTTTCTGAGACTGGTTCTATATTTGAAGGGTAGACATTTGGCATAAAATAAGAAATAGGAATTCTAACAGATTTTAACAAAAAAAACGAAGTCTACCTCGTAAAGCACATTTCTGGAGAATTCAGTACAAAAATTTAGAAGTTATGCTTTAGAGGGTTTAGTTAGTTATGGGAATATGTCTCTGTTGATTTAACCAGTCATGAGCATATTACCATAACTGTTTTGCCGAATTAATTAAAGTTGGATTTTACTTTAGTAATATTGTCAAACGTTAACTTCTTATAAAGAAAGACAAATTTTAATGACTAAGCCGATTTGAAAGATGTCGCAATTAGGACGACTATGGCAAAATAAACCAGACAAGGCATATTCTTTAACGCTACACAGCATAATCATATTGCATAGATGAAGGTAAATCAGAAAAGGAAACGTGGGAATTTCATCTTAATTCTAGGTAAACTCAAATATACTATAAGTGATAGACTTATTCTTTTAATCGTAGTTCATTTATTTACTTTATATTAGGCTCTCTATTTACCCTAGATCGCATACAGTGATGAAGGACTGCTAGTTGAATTTTTCACAATAATATAAGCGGGCTTCACAAAACAATAAGCTGGACTAAATAGATTTAAATCCCCCTAGGAGTGATGATGAGTCCTGGGTGAGGCCGAAGCTGTAATCCAGTCTAGCCTGAATAAGACTAACTTTTGGGAAGCAAAGCTATATAAATTTCAATAAAAACCTGGGGCATGCAATTATCATTGTGGGGAAATTCAACTATCACTATTGTATCGCATCATTCGACCTTGGATAAATACAATTATTATTCAAGATCCACTGGTAGTTTTAAAATCTTTGTCAATGCGAATATAGATAGGCTATCTCCGATAATTAGGAATAAGACCATTTAAACTTAGTAAGAGATTGGCAAACAGCCATACAGCTGCCGAATATCTACGCTATTGCCCAATTTTTTATCCGAGCAAAGTAAGCAAATTAACTCTTTTACGCACATAGTAAAAGATTTAACAATCGATACTAATCCTTAAACATCATATTACAAGTTCACTTAGAATACATATAATAAAACTTTATAATAATAAAGCCCTTAC